TTGAAAAGCTGTTTTATTAACTTGATAGCTTAAATTTGGTTGTGGCGATGGTACCTTGCTATGATGATATTCATTATATGACGTACGAAAGCATACTATCTTCCCACCGAAATCGAAGAAGCTTGCCTCGGAAACAGTGTCACCATGAATGTGTCAGTAAAGCCAATCGACAGCTGGTCAAGAGCAATCCGCCGTCGTCTTCTGCTGGTACCGACCTTCGAATATCTTCACGCAACACTTCCACTCGAAATGGAAGTACGCTCAACAATTATGAATCAAGAGATTCCTCGAAACCCAACTTTTCTTCACTATTCTACTATTTTACTCCTCACCAACGCATTATAGAATAAATATTTATTATTATTTACTCTACTACTTGTAACATTATAAGTAGCGCATTTAAATTTATTCTAAGGGAGTGAAATTTGTTAATAGCTTCTTTTTTAAGAGAAGAGAGATATTCTGCTTTGCGAAGAGTGATCCAGTGCAATTCTTCTGGCTCCCAGCCCACGCAATCTCAATGCGACTGCTTTCGAAAAATGCATCCCTAAATTTTGCTGCTATACTCTACTACAATTATTTCCATATGAAGTGTATTCATACATAAATGATCTGCCGGCAGTCTCGAAAACCTGCTTATAAGCAAAACATGATACAGTTCAAATTGACCGACATGACGTCACTTGCCGACGCGGCAACGACGACGCAAGCCTGTTGTAGGTGACAGAATTTCCTGATCAGTTTGAAGAGAGTAAAAAAGTGATCGCGAAACGAGAACTCACCGAGTCGATGTTGGTGTAGAGCGCAACTGCAACCTCAATTCGGTCTTTTATTTCAATCAGCGGCTCTTCCAGACGTTGCCATATCCGCGTAAGTCTGTTTCTGCTCACCAGAACACTGCGTGACAGTGGGCGCTTGTCGCTGTCACACATGCGTCGGTAGGCGTCCAGAAGCAGTTGAGCGTATTTGTGTGTATCCTAACGAGGGGGTCAGAGATGCGTGGGGTCCAGGAGGAGTGAGAGAAAAAGTAATTTGTTAAGAAATGTGTTAACCCCATTTTATGCATAGTCATACAGGACGATGCGATGAGTGGGCCATAGTTTTCCATTGCATTTCACGCACTTGACCTTGCTTCCCAAAAGGCAGCATCGTCCCGACTGGACTGGAATGCAGTTTTGACCTGGCAGTTCCGACAGGCGCAACATAATCACACACTCGAGGCCATTCAATCTGAGGTACAGTTTCTTTTTTGTGCTATGCATGCTGTGATTTTTGAACCCAACGACCTCTGCGGGCACTTTGGGGCTCAGCCACATTTTGTCGAATGAGGCATTATTTTATACCATCCCGACTAGGATAATGGGTCAGGCCTCTCTCTGAAAGTGGGCATAAATGAATACATTATGCTGGTTTTACTGAAAAGCGTTCTAAGTCTTTGCAAGAAGGCCAATACAAAACATGGCAAAAAAAGAATTATTTATTAATCGAATGCTATTTTCAAAAAATATTAGATGTAATCACCCAATTTTGTTTAAGGTAATGAAGCACTGGTAGTACAATCCCCACAATGATGCGAGTAAAGCTGACGTTTTCATTCAATTTCGCTTTATCTTGCTTTACCAAAAGTTGTTCTCCTCCCGGCAGAATGGAAACTTGACACGAAATTGGGTGAAAGCATCTCATATTACTGATTTACTGATAGTCTCGAAATTCTACTCAAATAAGAACAACAAAAAATATTAGTTTGAGCCGATCCAGTTGATTAGCACAAAAGTGTATATCGAAAAGTGGTGGTGGTTAAGTCAAATAGAAAAAATGCTGTTTACTTTGAACAATTGGGAAACAGAGAAACATCGGGAACCGCTTAATGTTTGCGTAAACAAAGAAGAAATTGAGAAAAGAAAACTAATTCACTTCTTCCGAGGGACACAATGACAGCTTC